CAGGTTAATTCACCAAAGTTTAATCCTCTCTGTTTATTTTATTTATGCTGTTTCTCTGAGAATAGTACATCTAATAGAAATTTGGTGTGAGCCGCATATGTGACTTTTTTCCTACTAGCCATTAAAAATAGAAACAGGTGAAATTAATTTTATATATTTTGTTTACCGCATATCCAAAATACTGTCATTTCAACATGCAGTTGGCATAAAAATCATTGAGATATTTTACTTTTTTTTGGTATTAATCCTTTGAAATCCTACTGTGTGTATTTTATATTTATATTACATTCTTAATTTTGAGTAGCCACATTTCAGGTGTTCCATAGTCATGTGTGGTTAGTGGCTACCTTATCGGATGGCACAGTGATAGAATTTATTTTAACTCTTCTCTGTGGAAGTTCTATGCTTTTCAAGACTTAAATATCAACACCATGGTGGACAATTCCCAGTCCTCATCCATCTCAATTTACCTATGTGGTTATAGCAGTTGTTTTGGCACTTGTAACATATGTCTCGTATGATTGTTTCTTATATCACTCCTATCCATTAATTGAAATTTCTACCCTATTTAACAGCTGCATAATAAATTACTGGTTGAACTAAACTTGTGGGAGAGCAGGAGCGGGTACAAATTTTCTTTTGCCTAGGCTTTACTTCACCTTAATATATTTATTTAAATTTTTATTTCTTTAACCTATGCAACATCCTTGAGTCTACCCTTTTATCTCCCATATTGGATCAATTGCCAAGTTCTTAAAAGCTTTATCCTTTTAGATATCATTGGTTTGCCTTCTGCTCGCTCTTTGTTGTTGTGTGCCGGCCATCCAGTTGAATCTGACTCACAGCAACCCTATATGACAGAGTAGAACTGCCCCATAGGGGTTCCTAGACTGTAATCTTTCTGGGAGCAGATCACCAAGCCTTTTCTTCTGAGGAGCCACTGGGTGGGTTCAGACCACTGACCTTTTGGTTAGCAGCTAAGCATTTAATCATACTACCAGTGCTCTTTACTCTTTCCTTAGACCAGGAAGTTTCTTGCCTGGATTGCTACAACAGCATCCTATCTGGTCTCCTAAACTAGTTTACTTAAGTGTTTAAAAGCTCCACAGTTGCTCTTAGGACGAAATCTGTACTCAATCAGTATGACTCAATGAGGCCTAAAGGATTAGCAGGGACATGGAGGGGAAGGGAACAGTGTTCCAGGCCTAGGGAAGAGCATGTCCGAAGGCCTGGAAAGGGAATATAGAAGTTTCGTAAGGAAGTTGAAGCTCTAGGGAGGGAGTAGAGGAATATGAATTTGGAGCACTAAGCTGAAGCTATATCCTGAAGGTCTTTTAAACTTTGTTATAAGTCGGGACACCAGGTTAAGAGGATGGAGATTCACTGAGGGTCTCAAGTTAGGTGCCCTGCAATGGCAACTAATAAACCAAATTGTAACAAATTTGTTTAATGGTTACTTCCACTAATCGGTGATCTGACCTCAGCCCAAATCTTCGTTCTTATGTTGCTTTTCCAGTCCTTTCTACTCCTTAGCTGTTGCCCCCCTTCC